TTGAATGTAATGCAGTGCACATCACACTGTATTACATTCTTTCCTGGCTTTGATGCCATACACGTCACTTCATGGTCAGGACATGAAGTGGAGGAGAGTGGACACTCTCCTCCCTCCCCTCTGACAGCTGGCACCCCGCAACACCATTTCCGGGCCTGCAGATAGGCAAGGGGAGCCCTGGGTACAGAACGGGGGGGGAGTTGTGAAAAAGGTGGTGGTTGGGGGATGGCACTTTAGCGCAGTGTGTGGAAGCAATCTGGCCGCATCATAGCCACCTGAATGATTCCACATATCAAGTAAGCCCGCAGCGGGGCTAAATGTGAAAGGGAAACTACCTGCTCGGCGCATGGAACTAGATGTCCCAGGCATCAGGCGATATAAATTGCACATCTCTGATATTTGGGGTCTAAGGAGTTAAAGCAGGTGGTAAGGAGTTAGAGTGCCAACTCACTGCCTGTTTGTTTCTGAACAAACATGAATTGCTCTTCAGAGAGCATTGCCCATGTGAACAAGTCCTTATAGTGACACAATAACGGCTGTGGTGGTGATCAGAGACACTGTGACTGTTGGTGATGTTGAGCAAGGACAGTATAACTGCTGTGGCAGTAGTCAGGGTCACTGTAACTGTTGTGGCGGTGATTAGAAACAATGTACGAGGGGCGTTCAAGTCAAATCGGGACTTTTGAGTTTCTGTAATAAAAGAACAAATTTCAAGGATTGGAAACTGCATTTATTTTTCGACATACTCCTCTGCTGCATTTATACACTTATCCCAGTTTTTTAACTACTGCCTGGAAAGCTTTGGCATAGAAAGATTTGTCAGTACACCTGAACCATCCTAGGACAGCCTGCTTCAATTTATCAGGATCAGGCGTTCACAGGACTGCTGTGGGCTGTGAACCACCACGGCCAGGATTGTCACTGACGGGCATATGCCTACCTTTTGAAATGTTTACACCATTCAAATGTCCTAATGCGGCTGAGTGTCTCATCACCATACTGTGCTTGAAGTCTTCTTTAGATATCCGTGGGTTTTACGCTTTTGTTCACTTCACCACACATTGTTCTTCCATGCACTAATACTGTTGTCTGCCATCTTGATTAACTGTCTCTGGACTGGCCCGCTTCATGTGCACCTCCTATCAGTAATAGGACACACTTTCCACTTGCCACTGACCTGTTGCCAATAAGGTAGATAAAATGCCAGTGGGTAGAACCCCCTGGAAAAGAAGTCCTCAGGAGAACAATCTGTGGCTAAAACATCAATGCCAATAAACCTAATTAGTTGCAAAATGTTCTTCCAGCTCTTCCTTCTTAATATCACTTACTTAGCCAGCGTTTTTTTGTCCTGTCCAAACTTTTTTTGAAACATGCTGTGGGCATCAATTTCAAAATTCTTTTCTTTTTGTTCTAAAAATGGTACATTTTCTCATCTTAAACAGTTGACATTTTTTCTATTGTGAATAAAATATAGGTTTATGAGATTTGCAAATCATTGCACTCTGTTTTTTGTAGACTTTACACAGTATCCCATCTTTTTTGGAATTGGGGTTATAAATTAAACATATGGAAAACCTCATCGCCTCTGATAAGGATACACATGATGCATTCAGGCAGACTTGGTTTTTTTTGGGATCGGTTCTCTACTACCAGAGAATATGAATCTCTTGTGTCCTAATCCCACACAGCAACTTGCTAACCATTCTAGGGTGAAAGAACAAATATAGAGGGCAGACCCTGGGCAAAGGACAAGATTTACCCCTCCCCATTTCTTGCTTTGCTTACCAAACCCTCTTCGCTTTGTCCCCACCCCTTTTAATTTGCTGCCTCCCTCCTACCTTTCCTCTTACCTCCTACCTTTCTATCTTACAGTCCCCCTTCTTTTTTTTGCTATTTAGATTTTTAGTTTCCCTTCTATGTTTTCCTCACAATCATTCCTTACTCTCTAAATATGATATTGAAAAAAAAACACATACACCTTGGTGACAACGATCCTTATAGGACTTTCTTTATTGCCACAAGCTGGTCTCACTATTTATGATGCATGCTTGCACTTCTAATCAGTCCACTTAGGTGGTAATGTTCTTTTTGTAATTGGTATCCCATATGGACCATGTATCCCTTTGATTACTACTTTGGTGTCTCTATGGTGTGTGTGATCTAATAAAATAAAGAATGTAAAAAAATATATCTAGAGTGTATTACATACAGTGTTTAACCGCATGCCGCCCAGCCACTGTACATATACGGCGGCAGGGCGGCACTCACAGGCAAAACCAAGTTTTAAGACGTGTGTTTTGTAAACAAATAGGGGGCACGCGCGAAGCGCCGCCGCCCTATTTGTCCCGCGGTTCTCTGCCGCAGATGTCAGTCGCCGGGTCACAGCCGCTCCTTAGCGGCTATGTCCCGGCGATCGGCGGCAAACAGTGACAGACAGCACAGCTGCAGTAGCTGTGCTGTCTGTCACTTCCCTGACAGCTCGAGGATGAGCTGATCGAGAAAGAACAGTTTTTCTTTCTCGATCAGCCTTGTCCCACCCAGCACCCCCCTGCCCCCTAGTAAAACACTCCCCTCACTCCTATAACCCTTCCCTGCTAAATAAAGTTAACCCCTTCCTCCCCATTGCCATTAGTACATTTTTTTTAATTTTTTTTTAATTTTTTTTTGCACTGATCACTGTATTAGTGTTTTTGGGGATGTCAGTACCCCCCAATGTCAAAATGTCCGCCGCAGTCCCGCCATAAGTCCCTGGTCTCTGCCATAAGTCCCTGATTGCCGCCATAATTCGCTGATCGCCGCCATTATCAGTATAAAAAAAAAAAACCCTAAAAATCTTTCCCGCCATTTGCAAATGCTATAACTTTCACGTAAACCAATTAATTTACACGTATTGGGTTTTTTTTAGCAAAGACATGTCGCAGAATACATTTTGGCAGAAATTTATGACTAAATTTGATTTTTGCATTTTTTTTTTTACTGGACATGTTTTTTAGCAAAAAGTCCAAAATATTGTTTTTTTTTTCCTCAAAATTGTCAGCCTTTTTTTAATAGCGCAAAAAATAAAAACCGCACAGGCGATCAAATGCCACCGAAAGAAAGCTCAATTTGTGGGGAAAAAATGTACCATATTGCATGACCGCGCAATTGTCCGTTAAACTAGCGCAGCGCTGTATAGCAGAAAAATGGCGTAAATTGCAGTATTTATACCATAGTTTGTAGACGCTATAACTTCCACAAAAAGCAATCAATATACACTTATTGGGATTTTTTTTACCAAAAACATGTAGCAGAATACATTTTGGCCTAAATTTATAACCAACTTTGAGTTTACTATATATTTTTTTATAGCTGAAAATAAAAAATATTGTTTTTCTTCAAAATTTTTGGCCTTTTTTTGTTTATAGCGTGAAAAATAAAAAGCGCACAGGTGATCAAATACCACCGAAAGAAAGCTCTATTTGTGTGAAAAAAAGGACGTAAATTTCGTTAGGGTGCAGCATTGCATGACCGCTCAATTATCAGTTGAATTAGTGCAGCGCCAAGTAGCAAAAAGAGGCCTGGTCATTAAGGGGGGTAAATCCTCAGGAGCTCAAGTGGTTAATATATCACTGCCCTCCCTTATACATCATGCTTACCAAAATTGTTTCGTAATAGAATATATAGCTTAACTCCAGGCAAACCGCTAAATAAACAGGTGTGATATTTTTGTCTATCCAGTCCTGAGATATACAAAACTCTGCAACACAGCACAGCCATGTTGGAATGGGCAGGAGAACTTAGTTAGGTAACGCTTATCTGACCGACTCTCACTGCTCTCTTACCCTGTGACTGGACATGAAAGGGGGAAGCAGCAGACTGATGAGCTCAACATGCTTTCACTTGGCTCTCTCTCAGCTGAGTGACTCCTTGTGTTCTTTCACCCTTTCCAATTCTAAGCTCTGTTGTATACAAGATTGCAAAAGACTGATACCAGATAAAATGAAAATATTTCAGTTTGACCTCTTCTTATTATAGGCTTTTGTAAATCTAAAGGAAAATTGTACAAGAAAATTGTATAATGTATGGCCCGCCTTAAGCATGATTCAGCTTACACGGTAATGCACACACGCATAGGTGTGAATGGGCCCTATTAAAGTTTTTCAAAACACACTGAAGTACAACACATGGATGTAAACAAAGGAAAGCCACAAAGGAAAGAAAATGTTTTATATTTTAAATGCGTTTAATGCAGTAAAATGCATATGTTTTGCATGCTATGCATACTTTTTAATTGCAAAAGTATTCTTTTCTCTGTAGTATAACTTGGCTTTAGGGGGAAAAAAGCATTGCATGTAGGCCAATGTTTAGGTTTAGCCCCAGTTGTATTTCACAGAAAGCTGAGAAAATTACAAGCACAGAGTAGTAAGAAACTGCTATGTGTCTTAGGCCCTTAAATCTATGTCTTGTAACCATTTTGGTTGTAAGCCTGGTGTAGTATCAATATTTCCCTCCTGAGGATAAACATATACAGTAATTAGGGGGAAATTTGCTGCAACTACCATGTGTATACTGTGGGATGGTGCCATCTGAGCAGATTACAGACACAGCAAAACAATGGCGCCTCGCCATCGCAGCCAAATTTCCCATAACAGCTCACAGTCTGCAATACAAGGGTGCAAACTCAAAATCTGTTTCATTTTTTTCACAGTAATAGCAGGGCCTAGTTTAACAGTGGTACATGTTATTGCAATGTGCAGCAAAACCAATGCTTAGGAAAGCTGGAATTTTACTTGCTGAAGTAAGTTTGCTGCCTTTAGCAGAGATATGGTATGTTTTGCATAGAATTAGCAGTTCACTGACTCATGGCAGTGAAATATAAAAGTAGCAAACAAGAATGTAGACAGTAGCATTGAACCTCCATTTATGGATACAGTGGATATAGAAAAGAATCACCCCACTTTATAATAATCACATTTTGTTGCTTTGCAGCCTGAAATGAAGACCAACACGGTTTTTGTTTTATCCAGCTGTATTTACTCAGTGCAACTTATAACATCAATGTGAAAGATATTACACCAGCATGTAAGACACAGGGGCGGACTAACCATTTGGAAACTCAGCCACTGCCCGAGGGCCCGGGGTCAGTAGGGGCCCCATGAGATACCCCTGGTACCTTTTTCATAGGCTTTTTTGAGTTTGGGCAAGGACACAGGGGCCCCATGATCCCCTATTGCCCGGGGGCCCCATGAGTGTTCAGTCCGCCCCTGGTAAGAAATTAAAAAAAAAAAAATCAATAGACCAGAATCGCTGAGTTGGAAAAGGATCACCCCTTGTGTCAATATTTTGTTGAACCACCTTTTGCTTTAATTACAACCTTTAGTCTGTTGTGAACACCGATCGCTATACGGGACCTCTGTGTAAGGTCCCGATTCATATGATCACTGATTGGCCAATCAGTGATCACATGAATAGTAGTAAACAAAATGTCACTTCCTGACATCATTGCTTACTACTAGTGAAATCTGTGAATGACAACAGCCCTGTACCATGTGGCAAGCTGTGATGAATCGAAGCTCGCACAGTATTTCTCAATGGCTGCAAGAATGCAGCCAGAGAGGAGAAATGATTGATTTTACACCCATAAAGGCTGTAAAAGCAATCAGTGTAAAAAAAAGAAAAAATCATCACCCCCCCCCCCCCAACAAGTAGTACAGTGTCACTATGGTGACACTGTACTGCTAGGGTGACAGTATGTTGAAAAAAAAAAAAAGATAATATAAAAAATAAATTAAAAATGTAAAAAAAAAATTTGAAAAATTATTATTTTTGGTTATAAACTAATTTTGGATGATTATTTTTTTTTTACTAAAAAGATAGCTGAATACATTTTGGCCAAGATTTATGAAGAAAGATTTATTTGTTTATTTGCAAAATGTTATAAGAAAAACTTTTTTTTTTTTTTTTTTTAATTTTTGGACTTTTTTATTTTGTATAGCAAAAAAAAAAAAAATCCCAGTGGTGAATAAATACCACCAAAATAAAGTTGTATCTGTCTCAAAAAGATCATATGGGTACAGTGTTGCATGGCCGCGCAATTGTCAAAGTGTGATAGCACTGAAAGCTGAAAATTGGCCTGGACTGGAAAGGGGGTGAAAGTGTCTGGACTTGAAGTGGTTAAAAAAAGTGTGTCTTCTTTTTTTTTTTTAAGCACAATAGGGTGCATTTTGTATAGGTTGAGGTAATGCACATTAACAGTCGACATAGCGAACATATGTTAAATACACCGCAAAGTAAAAGAACCCCTATTTAGAGCAGCAGAATTTTCTTCTTGTTTTGCAACTCTGAATGGCTAGTAGTTGTAAATGGATTGGCTGCCATGGGCAAAAACAAAATAGTTTTCAACTTGCTTTTAAAATTGTCTGTTCAAAACCCAGGGTGCTTACAGAGCCTGATTATAAAAAGTTAGGTCTGGTTGGCCTCACTCCTGAAATTATCTGACATAATTGTCTGGTACATACTGTCTTGCCTAACTAGGGCTTTTTTTTCTCAGAGTATAGGTGCTGGTACTCCCCATTCCGAGTCACCCCTTGTTTCTACCCACCTCCCAGTACCACTACTTTTAGGCCTCTTTCACATGGGCATCATCGGATCAGTTTTTACTTAGTTGTTGCAGAGACTGAACAGAGGTGACGAAAGTATAAACAAAAAATTTTCTTGGCTAAAAACGGACCTAATCAGAACTGACGTCAGCGGATGGCATCCGTTCTCTTCCGTTTCAACGGATTTGGACGTACCCTTGTAAGTTTAAAAAAACGGACTGTAACGGACACGGATGTAAAATGGATGGCAAACTGATGATCATTCGTTCACTTCCACTGGTCCATAGAAATACATTGCTGTTCGTTTTTCATCTGTCAATGGATGGATGAAAAATGGACAAACGGTCCGCCTGTGTGAAAGTGGCTTTAGAGAATACAGAGCTAAATATCATTTTGTGGTGCTAAGTAATTTGTATGAAATTTGCTAATGATAACAAGAAAAGCAGTAAAATAGAGCCACTGCAGCAAGGAACAAAATCCTCCCTGCAACAATAGATCCCCCAGCAACAGTATACTCCCCGCAACAAAATACCCTTCAGCAACAATAGATCTGCTCCAGCAAAAAAAGACCCTTGCCATCAACAACATATCTTTTAGCAACCAGCATCAATAGAACCTCCAGTTTCAGCAACAATAGAACCCTCCCTCAACAGTAGATCCCCTAGTAACAGTAAATCTCCCAACAACAACAATGGACCTCCCAAGGACCACCTAACTGTCAGCATGCCCTGCCATTACATATATTCAGTGCTGCAGGTGATGGAACTGCATTCACACTGAAAAAACCCTTCCTATAGCAATCCATCATGACACTGCCGAGTCTTCCCCAGTGAGGAAACAGGTGGCAAAAGTATGTGCAATAGTGAATAGCTGAGTCACCAACCAGGGTGTGCAGTTTAGCAAGTGTGTGTGGATCACAAGCCTGGCTAGGCAGCATTACTTATATTTGGCTGTTAAAAAGTGTATATGTATTTCACAGGACTACACAGCTGTCTGGACAGAGTTCTGCTTTGACTTTGCATTATACTGGTATCTTTGCAGCTGACTATTGTAGATAGAGCAGAATAGTAACTTCCCGCATTCACTCCTGCACCTGATTGCTGGAATAGAGATACAACAATGCCTCCTGTAAAACAAAAAGCCTATGAAAGAAAGTGGCTAACCTCCCGCATGCAGATAAGTTTGGCTGGTTTCCTGCTCACCCTGTCTCCATGGTAACCTCCCAGCTTGCGCTGTCAGTCATACACAGCCTCCCCATGAATCAATACAGGAGCTAATCTGATTACTTACTGGCATCTCTGCAAGCTACATGCTCCACTAGAAACAGCAGCCTGTGGACTGTAGTGTCACCTGTATCACCTACCTTAACCAACTGTTTGTGTACTCTGTAGTGCGTGTGTGTGTGTGTGGGTATGTGTGTATGTATATGTGTGTGTGTGTGTATGTGTATGTATGTATATATATATATATATGTGTGTGTGTGTGTGTGTGTGTGTGTGTGTGTATATATATGTATGCATACATACATACATACATACATACATACATACATACATACATACTCTGAGTTCACACATATTTCAGCAGTATAGGATAATAATGCAAGAGACACAATTCTTTAGTAGCACCTCTATATTAGTCTTAGTAAAGAAAAAGCAGACCACACGAATATTGGATTAAGGATACACAACCCCAGTCAACACATAAAAATAGAACACTGGTAAAATAGGAATAATCAATTAGCAACGTTTCACAAATTATACAATCATGAGTAGTAAGCTTCAACTTTTAAAATGCAGCACAGCAGTAAGAGGGGGAAGAAAAGGCTTGTTGACTTATCAGCTTCCTCTAGGCTACCGGTGCTGCAATGGTGGATGCAGAGAATTCTGTAAATATATATCCTGACATAAATAGATATAAATATCCTCATTTGAATAACAATGACCTTAGAAGAGAAGAGGTCCCTTTAACCAGAGATTCCAACTTGAGTCCTCTGATATTTAAAGTTCCTGATGTGGTGGTGTAGCAATCGTGCACTCAGAGATGGACGCGGTCCTCCATTTTGTTAAGAATCTTCCATTTTGTACCATCTCTCACTCCCAAAGCAGGCTTCCTCCTCCAATCATCCCCCCTCCCTAGCTGTTGAGTGACATGTGGTCGGTGTGTGTTTGCAGAGATCACAGGCAACAAACTCAGTGGGAGGGCGTCCTGGCTATAAAACCTCACTAGCTAGGTGCCCCCCCGTCTACAAAACAATTGCTTGGAATGGGATCGTAAAAGCGTAAACCAAGTCCTTCACTGAGTTCAAAGACATTCCAGAGAAGTCATAAACTAGACACCACATTCAACATCCATTTTGCCGTATGATTTCATATCTTGGAATATGAGAGACTTGCATAAAAACCAGGCATATATTCAGATTGATCACTTTGATACAAGTTTCCTGATATTTTACACCCCCTAGCTAGGATATATAAGAGAGCAGAAAATGATATCTCCTGAACCATTCAAGTGGATATGACATCTCTAACAATTCCGCAGGTGCGGCTGAGTATTAATCTACTAGTGGCCAGGCTGCTAAATGCCCCGAGAATAAGTAATGAATCATAATAGAAGCTATGAGAGTTTCTGGTCATAACTTAGGGCTCCACCTACACCTCCCTCCCCAAAGGAGACGATTGGTTTACTGCTCCAGGGGGACACCCTGTGGCGTTACTAGAAGAGCTAAGCTAAGCTGAGTTAAAGAAGGAAGATTTCCTGTTTTGACATGGAGACTGACAGTGGGAGACAAGAAATCCTTTTAGGCTCATGAAACTTGAAGCTGCTTAAACAAAGGCTGACTGGCAAGTACTTTAGCTATCTAAATTCCTTTGTTATCTCTTTGCTGTGCTATTGTTCTCTGTATATTTATATATATATATTGGCTACATCTTTTTCTGTAAATATTTTTATTGCACCCTTTTGACCTTTTAGTAATAAATCTTACTTTCTGAAAGTGTTGAACTGTTTCTAAAGCTCTTTAATGCAAATTACGAATTCCTGCGCTGAAGAGCGCTACTGTGTGGGTTTAATCCTCTGTATAACCTGTCTGCGGTGACAGTGGTATACAGATGATTATCCAATCATCATAGTGTATTGCTAATATTGCAGAGTTTCCTCTTTCTCTGTAGAAAAAGGAGGTGGTGGCAGTGTGAAGGGTTAATTGCGTAATTGACCTGACCCAGTAACAATCGCACTCAGGCTGCCGGTACACCGATTGTGGTCCATTAGCTAGAAAATCTGTGTGCAGGGTGCAACTGGGAGTGGCATTGTTACGCACGTGACAGCGCGGTTTTAGATTGGCTAGTCCTTTCGGTCACGAGTTTGGTGAGAAGGGCTGGGGTCTGACGCCGCGATCGTCACAGGTGGTGTCTGTTGTCTTCTGCTAGCAGTGATAGGGGCCTAAAAACATTAGTGTACACTGGTAATTCAATTAAGTTAAACAGATACTGTAGGCTGTGGTGCTGCTCAAAGCAAAGATTTCCTGATACTGAGGTATAAAGGTCTGTATGCAGTGTCTCTAGAGTAATGGCAAAAAAGAGGTTGGGCATCCACTTGCACACCAATCCTTTGGATAGCACAGCCTCCTAGGAACTAGAGTTCTTGCCCAGGCTGTTGGCTGTTTGCAGGGAGGCGCAGAGTTACCCCCTGATGGCCTGTCAGCAAGAAGAGATGCCTGTGTGAAGACTGGACAGCGACAGTCCCGATGCAGAGAAGCTGATGCTATTCTGGTTTGTCGACCGGTATCACTGCTGTGTTAAACTGATGTGCAGAGTCCCAAAGCACTAGGTCAACAATCTCTCTGGAGAAGAATGGTAGTCCCCCTGTTTTCAGCTTTGAACCTGTGCCACGAAAGCGAGTCAGTCCCTTGCTGTAAAATATATCTGTTCTCCCAGCATCCTTCTGGTTCGCCAGCTCTCTGGTAGTTGTAGTTCAATCAGCTTCAGAAATACAGTATGTATTGGCTATAGGACTACAGGTCACAAGATCCTCTGCTGCTAGAAGAACTGAATCCACTCAGCTAACAGGAAGTGATGTAGCAGTCCCATTGACATATGACATTTCTGGCATACATGTTAAAATCAGCATTTTTTGCTAGAAAATTGCTTAGAGCCTCCAAACATTATATATCTTCTGGAAATAGAGGCCCTGTAGAATAAAATGGTTGTTGCTGCAATTTTGTATTTTGCACAAAATCAAATGCAAATTTCCAGGAAAAAATGTACTTTAAAGAATTTTAGAACAAGACAAATATTTGGCGCACTAAGAAGACAAAAAAAATAGATGTATACTGTGATTGCTAGTATATTAACCACACAAGTAAAGTCCTTAAAGTCCAAAGGTGATTAAGGGATATTCCAACAATGCTTGACTCAAAAAGAGCTAGAAGAGACTCTGTGTGAACCATAAAAGAGAGGGAAGTTGCACCATCTAAGTACAGCAATATAAGCAAATAATTTATTTCCACAAAATTGGCAACTCACAATAAAAGCAGCTAAATGAGCACTTGTCAAACTGGTGTCAACTGCTGGGCAACTCCTGGTTGGTCCCGCTGCAGGCTAGTCTCCAAAGCACTGTCCTTGGCTGTGCTGGTGGTTCGCAGTACTTCCTGGTCGGTGTGTCAAGGGCAAGCGAGAGTGATGTCAGCACCAGGTACAGCAGCAGTAGGCATGGCATGCGTTCAGAACATGCATGCTCCTTCAGGCCATAGATGGGGACATATATTGGCAAATGATAGTGGCAGACTATAGGGCCCAGCCAACTTATGGATAGACCCAAGTTTAATCATAGGTTAGTACAAAAAACATATCAAGCCTCCCTCTCTTAAGATTAGACTAAGCGCGCTTAAATTAAAGTACGATAAATAAAATACTATAAACATGCTGGTATGTGAATTGGATCCTGTCTAAATTGGCCCTAGTATGTGTATGTATGAATGTAAGTTAGGGACCTTAGAATGTACGCCCCTTGAGAGTTAGGGACTGATGTGAATGTACAATATATATGTAAAATCGCTGCAAAAATTGAAGACGCTATACAAGTACCTGTAATAAATAAATATATGAGGATATTAAAGGAAAGTTATGCAAATTAGGCCTGTATCTCACTGTGCCCTATAACAGGGGTCCTCAAAATTTTTAAACGGGGCCAGTTCACGGACATTTACACTATTGGGGGGCTGGACTATAGTTTGAAAAAAAATATTAAATTCTTATGCACACTGCACATATCTTATTTGTAGTGCAAAAAAAAATAAAACAGGAAAAAACAATACAATATTTAAAATGCACTGTACTGTAACGCACTGGACACCCCAATGCACTGTACTCTGTAATGCACTAAACCCCAAAATGCACTGTACTCTAACGTACTGGACACCGCAATGCACTGTACTCTGTAAAGAACTGGACACCGCAATGCACTGTCCCTGGTGCCTGGTGTACTCTCCTCCTCTCCTCTTGCTCTTCTGGTTGCAGCAGGTGAAATTGGGGACTTGCAGTCTGCAGCTCGCTGGGTCCTCGCGGCTGAGGACCCAGTGAGCAGCCTAGCTATTTGCCGATCCGTTTTTTTTTTCTTCTGATTTTTTTTTTTCTTTGGCGGACCGTATCCGGCCCGTGGGCCGTTGTTTGAGGACCCCTGCACGATAACATAGAGGGTAGCATAAGGGTCCTGTTTGAATAAATAAATAGATATGTAATAATAGAAATGTTTGTACATAAACAGGTGATTCCATATTATTGAAAATGTGTATAAAAAAATTCTAGATGATGATAATAATAAGGCTACCTATGCCATTTGGGAAAATGAAAACAATGTAGAGCAAGAGAAAATAAAGGATAGAAATATAATAAGAATCTTGGAAGGATGGCCAGCTACAAGAAATATTAAGAAATAGATGTAGTTATGTATAAGCTGAAGCACTAGCGGTATCAAGTGAGTAGGTGTAATCGTAGAGCAGGGGCGGACTGACAACTCATGGGGCCCCCGGACAATAGGGGATCATAGGGCCCCTGTGTCCTGGCTCAAACTCAAAAAAGCCTATGAAAAAGGTACCAGGGGCATCTCATGGGGCCCCTACTGACCCCGGGCCCTTGGGCAGTGCCCGAGTTTCCAAATGGTCAGTCCGAGTATATGCCACTAGCCGGCACAAACAAAGCATATGGTGTACAAACAAACACATGTAACATGGATCAATTATAGTCCTGAGAGACAGGAGGGGCGGTGGAACCGAACCCCCCATACAGTTCCACCACTAAAAAACCGTCCGCTTGCCTCCCAAAGAAGGGGAGAACAATGGAGGCAACGCGAAGGAGACACATCCATAAAATATTTAAGAGAACTGTGCTGACTTCAAGTTCCTTATCCAGTCCGCCAGGGGCCAAAGTGTCTCTCCTTCACAGAGACATTTAAAACATTCTGCCAGTTGGTAGGTCATGGGATATGGCTTCAATGACCTAGACATTGACACCAGTTTAACAAGCGCTCATTTGACCACTACTATTGTGAGTTGCCAATTTTGTGGAAATGCTTTTCCACATATTTTTCGCTCCATAAGCCGCACCTGACCATAAAATGCGCCTAGGTTTTTGAGGAGGAAAACACTTGCTCATACTTATGAGCGAAGAAGCAAAAGATGTGCTGTTCCAGTTCATCCCGTGCATATTTGTGCCCACATGCAAACGGGCTCACATGCATTCCAATTAGCACTTGGCACCTAATGGCCTATTTAAACTGGTCTGTCATTATGAGCAGTTGCTGAATGGTCTTCAGCTTGTTCCTGTGACCTGATCTGCTGTTCCTGCTTAGCTGTGTATGACCTGGCTTGCCTTTGGACTTCGCTTCGGCTCCTGCTTAAACTCTGTTCACCAGATTACTCTGACTTCGGCCTGTTTACTGGACTTGCCTTTGACTATTGTTTTGGTACCGCTTTGCCCAGCTGGTACTGACCTTGGCCTGCCTCCTGGACTTGCTCTGCCTGCTGATTCTGTTCCTTGCTGACTGCTGTATGCTGCCTGTCTCCTGGTCCTGTTTCATCTTCTGCTCTGGTGCCAAGCTGCTCCTGCGTTCCGTTCTGAGGAGTGGACAACTACCATCCAGCGACTCCGGCACTTGTGCCACTCTTTGCCCTCACATTCTCTGTCTCCAACTTCAGGAGTATTGGACAGGAGGTGCAAGAGAGGCCTCTGTAACATTCCAGTCTTCACCAGGTATGTCATAGTACCATTCAGCCATGACTGACACTGGAGGAGATACCTCTCTGCTTGAGGCTCTATGCCAGCAAATTTCAACCCTAATTCAAGTGGTGATGGGACTCCAAGAGGGTTATTTCCAACTGGAAGGTCGTAAGCTCTCTCTGCCCACTACATCTCCAGCTTCAGCTCCTGCACCTACAGTAGTGATTCCTCCTCCGGAGCCTTGAGTGCCTACCCCAGAACGCTTCTCAGGAAATTTCCACAAATTTCGGGCCTTCCGCAATGCTTGCCAGCTGTATTTTGAGTTGTTACAACCACAAACTTTTTCTCATGAGTTCACTAAGGTTGGCTTTGTCATTTCTCTATTGCTTGAGGAACAGTCATGGGCCCATCATCTCCTGGAACACACCAGCTCAGTCCTTGCATCAGTCTCTTCCTTTGAGGCCATGGCTCAGATTTATGAGGACCCCCCCCAGTGAACCTCTACAGCAGAAACTATCTTGCATACACTCCGGCAAGGACTTTAGCCCGTGGAGAATTATGTGATTAAGTTCCGCAAATGGAGTTCTGACATAGCCTGGAATGATGCAGCCTTGTGATACCAGTTCCGTTTGGGACTTTCAGAGGCTCTCAAAGACTAACTTGCCAGACTGGATCCACCAGCAACACTCCCAGACCTTATTCAGCTTGATTGCAGAATCCAAGAGAGGAGGGTAGAAAGGTCTGGAAATACTCAACCTACCTGGACACCAGCAGCTCCTGTGTACCTGGCTCCAGCTCCACCAACATCCTCCTCCATGGTGGAATCTATTCAAGTGGGACTTGCCTATTCACCTCTGTCATCCAAGGAAAGACTGCGGTGTTGGCAGAACAACTTATGCCTCCACTGTGGTGGCGTTGGTCACTATCTGTGTGACTGTCCAGTGAGGCCGCGGAAGTCTGCCCCTGTATCTGAAATTTCCAGTTATCCTGCAAAGAGCATCTCACCACCCATCTCCTGTTGGCTCTCTCCTTACAGCTACCCGGGAGGAGCATCCAAACCCAAGCAATTTTGAGTCCGGGGCATGCAGCTGTTTTATGGACTATACCTTTTGCTAACAAACACCAAATTTCACTGCAAGCTAAGACGCAGTATCTGAAGATTCATCTGGCAGATGGCTCAAACCTCAAGTTAGGTCCAATCACACAAGAAACTTGTCCATTACTGGCAGTGACCCCATGGGTCATTCGAAATACCTAAACCCGGACATTATTCCATCAGCTTTGTTTCCCATCATCCTGGGAGTTCCATGGTTGTAGGCACACAATCCTCAAATAAATTGGGAATCGATAACTGTAGTTTCCTACCAGCAACGCTGTTTTCCCCAAGCAGGCCCCCTATTGGAACTGCAGCCAGAGACCTGTTTCACAACATGTTCCATCTGCTTATCATAACTTTTTAGATATCTTTGATAAGAAGGCTGAGACCTTACCACCTCATCGAACATACACAATTGCCCAATTGAATGGTTACCTGGGACTGAGATGAATTTTCCCCTTATCAGAACTAGAGCTTGAGGCATTGCGCTTATACATAGATGAAAACCTGGAAAGGGGGTTCATTCCTCCATCCACATCCCCCTCTGGGGCTGGCATATTTTTTGTTGAAAAGAAAGATCACATCCTGAGACCTTGCGTGGACTATAGAGAGCTAAATAAAATTACAGTCAAGAACAGATACTCTCGCATGGGGCGGGACCAGATGTGAGCTGCAACGGACGTGCCTGAGAAGTGCTCCAGTCATCCTAATCTAATGTGTTGACATCTGGGCAATACTGAGCCGGAGAGCACTCCTGTTTCTCCTCTGCCCTACCCTCTCTCTCTCTGCCCTTGCTCCTGATGCCATCCAGGAGCCGCTCCACTAAACAGGCCACACCATCTCAGCCATCTCTAGCTCTGACCACGTGTCCGGGCGCCATCTTGGTTGAGTGGCTTAAGGCCTTGCTGGCAGAGATGGATGCTGACCCCGGGGACTCTTCTACAGTGTCAGCCCCAGCACCAGCTCCTGCTCTGCAACCCCCCGATGGCACATCAGTGATTCTGGCTGCTATAGAACAGAATAAAACTTCACTCCTGGTGCACATTGATCGGCTTGCAGAGGAGTGTAATTTAATCCGCTCTGATCTGGACAATATCAGAGGCTGGATCACAGAAACCAGAGTCCCAGATCTCAGCAATGAAGGATCTCACTGCTGCTCATGCCACATCTATTGCAGATTTTCAACATTGTGTGTCAGCTGTGGTGGCTAAATCTGATGATGCGGAGAACAGACTCCGCTGCAACAACGTTAGAGTCCTGCTACTCCTGGAGGGTGCAGAGGGGGAACAGCAGGCTGAGTTTGCCGAATCCTTCTTTAAAGATCTGCTGGACTCTCTAGCAGTTTCACCGACCTATGTGGTTGAGAGGGCGCACCGGGTGCCCACCAGGCACAACATCCCAGGGATTAGTTCTCGTCCCTTCCTGGTCAGCTTCCTCAATTACCGGGATAGAGTTGCCATCTTCTCTGCGGCCAGGAAGTGCCCTGTCCTACAATATGGTAATTCATCTATCCTTTTAAGCTGAACTGCAGAGGAAGAGGAAGACATTTACGGATGTCCGCAAATGCCTACGTGATAAAAATATCAATTAAAGTATGATTTACCCCAGCCGTCTTCGTGTGCAATATGAGGGGTCGTCCCGCTTCTTTGATTCACCTGCTGAAGCGGACAGCTGGATGTCCACCCTTTGGTAAGCACTGCATCCTCCTTGCTTCAGCTACATGATTACTCCTCTTTCCTCAGACTCTGCCATGACATGTTGCACTTCCTCAACTCTTCCTATTATCAGGAATCTGGTTTTCTTCCCAGGCTGTCTTCCCATACGAACACCACCCCCCCCTCATGTGATCCCCATTGGTGGTCTTTTGAGTTGTGGCCATTTATTATGGGGAGTGGTACTCCCTGTCCCATGGGAATGCACATGCTGTTTTGGATGACTTGGGTTTTTTCCCTTTAAGCTCATTGCCTACAACATGCCTACTCTCTTCACTCTGGAGCTACTGTTGGCACAAGATTAAGACCCAGCCCTTCAGTCCTGTTCTTCCCTGAAGAAACAGCGAGTAAGCTCTTTGTCTTTGGATGCACCCAGTGTGATCGTTGTTGAGAGAAAAATCCAATAGGTCTGTTACGGTGTGTCACGGATCCACGATCGCCGCCACCAACATGCGACAATCGCACGACCGCGACTAACAGTAATACGTCACGCCCTCGGCGTCAGACCTCAGACCTCACCAAACTCGTGACCGAAGAGCCGGTCGATCTAAAACCGCGGTGTGACGCTCGTAACAAGGCCACACTCCGCTGCACCCAGCACAGCGATTGCCCAGCTAATGGACTACAATCGGTGCCTGCAGCCTGAATGCGCTTGTTACTGGGTCGGGTTAATTACGCAACTAACCCTCTACTGCCACCACCACTTTTGTCGGAGACTGGGAAACTCCCGTTATCAAATATACACTATAATGATTGAAATATTGATCTATATAGCACGGCCCCGCGGACCTGTTATACAGAGATATAACAAACAGTAGCGTCTCTTCAAAGGCAGGGATTCGTGAATTGCAAGTAATCGCTTAGAAACAGTTTAACACTTTCAGAAAGAAAGATTTATTACTAAAAGGGTCAAACAGGTGCAATACAATATTTACAAAGAGATGTCACAAAAATATATATATATATGTATATAAAGACACAGCAAAGAGATAATTAGGAAGAAGATTACAGGGTTAAGTTACTTGCCCATATGCCTGGGTTTGCAGATCCAAGTAGTAGAGTAGGGTGATTTCTTGATCTCCTTTTGTTACGATGTTGCTGGGAGATCTCTGTCTGTGTGTGTGTGTGTGTGTGTGTGTGTGTG